TTCCAAAGCACACTATTAAAAAATATTAATGCGTAGTGTTGTACGTAGGACTCTCTCCCGAAAAGGCTCAAAAAGTTGCCATGGCATGTTGTTATTTACATAACTTTTTACGCAAACGCCACTCGCGAGCTTATGACACTACGAATCCCGTTGATAGTGAGAATTTGCAGGCTGATGTTATCACGAATGGATCGTGAAGGCAGGTTGTAAATGAGATAACAGCACTTTCGCCAAAAACTAACGCAACAAATAGTGCTGAAGCAGTCTGAGATAACTATTCCGATTTCTTCAACAATGGAGGCCAGGTCTCATGGCAATGGAAAATTGACGATGCAATTGGCTCCACCAATAATTAAATTGAAAAGTGTAAATAACAATAATAATAATAAAAAACAGGTGAATAATTATGTTAATAACAAGTTAATATTTATGTACGATTAACTTACAGAGAGAATAAATAAATTAAACAACTCACTGTTACTGTGGTCGCTGGTTTTATTTGCATCGTCACCATCCTCGTTGTCGTTAATATTCTCAGATATTTATGATGCACTGTTTGGAACCTTTGGTGAAGTAATGAATATTACTTTAGTTTTTTCCCAACACCAAATCGTTAATTTTAACACCTCGACACGTGCTTCGATCACCAAGTGATCATCTTCGAAGGGGAAGATTAAAACTACAAAATAATGCGAGCTAACCCTATTTATGCTATATAGGTATCCCATACAGGTAAACCATCCAGGCGTACCACCCATACAGGTATACCAACCTGAATTAATTTTACAATTTTGCCTTATCTACTATTTTAAGAATTCATCGATTTCGTTATTATTGAAATTATTTTTCTCTAGTAATTCCCTGAGGTACTGCAAGGTCTGTGGAATTGGGACGCTAGGAAATAAGGAACTAACATCAAAAGAAACCAAAATCTCACCTTCTTGCAGAACCACGTTTTTTGTATGTTGTATGAACTCTAAAGAGTTTTTTATACTAAAATTTGGTTTCGCAATAGACAAGGTTTCAGATTCCTCAGTGAGCCACTTTGCTATTTGGTAGGTAGGAGCTCCAATATCTGACACGATGGGGCGCATTGATTTTCCCGGTTTGTGGATTTTAGGGAGGCACTTACAAGTAAGTTACAAGTTTCCAACCTAACGGTGTCGAAGCTTGTGCTTGAGCCATTTTCGATCATTATGTTATGGTAGTAATTAACATGTTGTGAATTTGTGTGTGATAGATTTATATTTATATCAACAACGAACAGCTCTAGTGATTGCTGTCAATATTGAGAAAATATCAATCATAGCTCAAAGTAAGCTATGATTGTATATCAATTGACTTTTCTCAATTATTTTCAGGAAAAATGCGAGTTTTTAAATTTTGTTTCGTCCTATTTATTTTCTCACAATCATTGGATGAGATTTTGGTAAAGTACATATGATTTTAGAAATAGTTGAAATGATAATTAACGAAAACAATATGAAAAACAAAAATTATAACAAAATGAATTCATTTTTTCTAACAATGAAACCTAAGTATATTCCATATTAAAAGCAAAACAGATCACACTGACTATTGTTGAGACAAAATTGACCACAAAATTAATAACTCAAATAGAATGTAACTGTTTTATCTCTCATAACGTTCTATATAATAATTGACCATTTTTTATATTCCAGCCCTCGATAAAACTATCAAAAATTAACGAATGCTCGGGCATCTAAAAAGAGTTTTACATTTTCTTCAACAAATAACTCTCTATGAAACAACCGGACGTTAATTGAACGTAATATAAATACTTTTCCTGCTCTGGAAGATGTTGAACAATATAAAAAAAATATTGAAATAAATCATCAAAATCTTTCGACAAGTGTCTGTTCAAAGTAATCATTGACTTGACTAAATACCTGTTACCTTGCAATATAAATTTTAAAGACGAAGATTGTAACTCGTGTGACGTCAATAATAAATCTGGTATCCATTCACGGATTACTTGGATTTTTTAGTCTGAATGTTTACATTAGCAACAAGGGAGAGCATCCTTGTGCGGGAAGGTGTTGAAGAAATGATCTTTTAACGAGGTTCAACTAGAGAAAGAACAGAAGTATATAAGAACACGAATTTCCGCTTGAAATTTTTGAGTTACTGAACTATAGAAGGAGATCATCAGAGCAGGATATCGAAGAAAGTTTTTTCAAAAGTAAAGAAACATGCAGATAAGCTCATGATAGGTTTCTTTACAGGGCGAAAGAAGATTTCAGCACAATCATTCATTTATTTTTAATTCGAGTAATGTATTTGCAAAAAATCGCTGATTTTATTCATACTCACGATATGACAATTGGTAATTTAGAAAAAAAATTGTTTGCTTGAAGGTGGTTGACAATGTTTCGTGGTGTATTTCATCAGTTCCTACTTCCATTGTCTAATATAATATAAATTGATTTGAAATTCCTGAAAAAATATTGAGAAGATTACCGAAAATAACAATTTAATTTGTAATTTCAGTTTTTTGTTCGATGTGTCTGATAATGTGTCTGATGAAATAGAAAAAAATGTTTCAATGAACTGATAATTAATTAAGTTGATTTCCACAAGGCTATGACAAAAAATATGAAAATTGAATATCTGGCGGAGGATACAGCAAATCAATTATGTCTTCTTCATTTATAAATGAATATTTCCACATAAGTCACTCATTTTCAACTTCAGGATGAAAGCTTTGTTCATTTCATCAGTTTGGACTTCCATTGTCTAATATGATATAAATTGATTTGAAATCCCTGAAAGAATCTGTGAAAAAAAATTAAAAAGATTAGCTAAAAAATAACAATTAGGTATATAAGGCCAAAAATTTCAATCACAATGAAGNTTCGTATTACACAGCCCGAAAGCACGGTCTCGAGAATCTTGATTATTCCTCTCTTAGGCAATTGCTGGTGGTTGGATTCCTGATTCAGATACTGTCCCGTGTGAGTAGGTTTTTGATATACAGATGTTTTCATTTAGTGTCGGTCTTCTTCACCAATACGTCTAAGAATGACAATTCGTTGTGGATCGAAATGCATGATAAAATATGGGGTGTTCCATTTAAAAAAATTTCATTTTATGAAATATTTTGAGAACGCAACTGTCAATTTTAAAATTTTCTGTCTTGTAAACACGACAGGAAATAATCATTCTTTCAAAACTTGAGATTTAAGAAGATGTTCTTTGTGAAATTGTCTGAATTCGTTAACATTTTGTGTTGTTATAATATTCAGGACCGTATTGCACAGAGAATATATTTGGTAGCCAAATGACACTCTGAAATATTCCGTTCTATAGAGAGGTACAGTCAGTAGGATTTCATTTCGGATATTCAAATTATGTACGTCTGTACTGTAAGTTATTTTATTATGTGAATAAGAAGCATTTTAATCTGGTTCCATTTTATGGCAGAATGATGTTCTCTTCTATTATCCATATCCAACTACTCGATTCCTTTTAATTTATGAGAAAGTCTTTGTCGTCCACCTTCAGTTCAAAACCTTGGAAAATCGAACAGGACTTGGTGGTAAAGACCTTGAGATCAATCAGTCTCATGTCTTTTGTATTGAAGACATTGAAAAAACCACTTGACACGCCTACAAGTGACACAGCAATGGCTATCAAACAACTGCGTTGAGGCCAATATGCCTACAGACAAAGTATGTCAACAGAAACGACCTGGTTATGAAAAAATCAGAAAATAGTTATGAGAACAGAGAAGTGCTTTCAGCTGCTTTCTTGAATGATACGTCCATATAATCATTCAGGCCTAGAGGAGAGGAGGTATATAGACCATAAGCTGGTGATGGATAGCCTGCATGCTAAGAATGGTATACACAAACATCATGGAAGAAAAGTAGTAGCACAAGTAGCAGGGGGTCACCCTCAAGGGTTATTTTGTCGCCACTCTTATGGAACTTTGTAAAGGACGAGTTACTAAGTCTTTTGGATCATAATGGGATATGTAAATGACTCAATCATCCTAGTCCAGGGCAAATATAATGATTTAGTGGAGAGGCGCATGCAGCAGGCCCTGAATAGTATGAATAAGTGGACCCATAAAGAAGAGCCGAACGAAATCATTTTCAATTCATTGAAAAGTTCAATTCATGCAGCAAAAGGATAATAATGGGCAACCTTTGCCAGCTAAAATGTTTATACATAATAAATATTCGAAATAATCAATTGATGAACACTTTCTTGTACAGATACGTAAATGATATCTGAATCTGTTGTTCTAGTAAAGGTTGGCAGTTGGGCAAGTTTGTCAAATTTGTCAATTCCATTCACCCATCAATTAAATCCACCAGTGAAATGAAAGTGAATGATTCAATACATTTCAAGGCTTGACTGATACTGAATTCAATGATAAACATGATTTTGCAATTTTGAATGAACCATCTAACACGAACATTATCATACGTAATCTCTTTCAGTATAAAGTAGCAGCATTCAATAGTATGCTCCACAGATCATTGAATATTCTTCAGTCAGAAAGTAATTGTCAAGGAGAACTGAGTTTTATCAAAGACATTGCTGTCAACAACGATCACAAGGTAGATATTATCGATTCCATTCACTAGGTCTATACCACTTCGAAAAACGATAACGAGTGTCGTAGGACATTAACACCACCTTCCGTTTTTTGAAAAAGGAAGATTTTGACTTGGCTCATAGAACAAATAATAATTCAAATGGATGCGTTGAAAAATGAAGACAAAACTTTATTGTTGGATATATCAGGAGAAAAAGTGGACTTGTGGTTCGTACGAAAATTTTATATTGGCTAAGCGGGTAAAACCTTTTCCAGAAAATAAAATAACATATATAGAAGTATATTTTCTAGTATTTTACGTTTGCAAACCATTCTTCAGCAGAGGAGCATGATATAGTTCAACCACGACTATGACGCCTTACATCTTGAAGACAAAGGTTTGANAACTGATTATTTTTGAAAACTTTGCCACCCTGTATCTCAAAAGTTAAGGCGTTTAGGACATACGTCCATAGGAAATTTTTTTCTTAAAATGGGTCTAAGAATTACCTCCTTAAATATTAGCATGTGTTTAAGGAACACCCTGTATATTCCTAACGAACGCTGGTCGTGAAAGACCCTGTATAATATCATTGATGGCCTTCTTCGCAAATAACTGCTGTTGTGGATCCATTTTTCGGAGCTCGACCGCCCATGCTGCAGCAATTTTGTCGCTGTCATGTTGTGGTTGTTGAAGGCGTTTGGAAGCCAATTTCACTAATTCCTCAGTGGGATCTGCAGCTTTACGTTTCCTGTTATTTCGACGAGGTGCATCATCCGCTTGAGAAAAATAAAAAAATCGAAATTAAATCATGCAGCATAACCATACTATCGGGTTTCAAACGAACTATCTTTGCTGTTTAAATTGCTTGGGATAAAAAAAAGCTTATTTTCATCTAAATTTTGCTGAAAACTGACAATTTTCTGTTGCTCTATAAAGTTGTTTTTCTTTGTTGCAGGTACCAACCTCAAACCAAGAATGGAAACAAATTGCACAAGATTTCTACGATCAACGGAATTTCCTCAATTGTCTGGGTGCAATCGATGGCAAGCATGTGGCAATAAAGAAACCCCACAATTCTGGATCACTTTACTACAAGTACAAAAAGTTTTTCAGTATTGTGATGATGGCAGTGGCAAATGCAAACTATGAGTTCATGATGGTTGATGTAGGAGTGAAAGGGCGAATATCAGACGGTGGTGTAATCAGTTACATGAAATTCGGACAGGCGCTTGCTGGTGATACATTGAAAATCACGGAACCAACACAACTGCCGAATGGTCACAAAAAATTTCCTTTTGGTTTTTTGGGAGATGACGTCTTCGGGCTAACAGAAAATGTTATGAAACCGTAGCCCCTGTTGGAAAAGCTCAAAATATATGTTATAGCGCCATCTATGGTTGGCTATGAATATTATCATCCGGCATCATGTAATAATGATGTACAAAGTAATTTAGTTGGTCTGTGCTGAGAACTCAACTAGACCATTTCATTTCAATAGGTTATGAATACCACGTGTTGGGTATGAAAGAAACAAGTTGATATTGCACAAGTATGGCTGGTAACTATACAGGGCTTTTCATGATGAGCGTTAATTAGCCGTTTCTGACGAACTATTTAACGGATCAACCTGAAAATTTCACAGTATGCATAAGTCAATATGACATACACGTCTAAAATATTTTAGACGAAGCGGCGTTGTAGCTTCTACTATAAATTAGCGGCATCTTTGTTTTTTCAAAAGGAACACCCCGTATATAATATCATACTATGATTCATTATCACTTTGTCAATAAATTCATGTACCATTTCCCTATACCTATCTATTACCGTTCAGAAGATATAAATTAATTTCGATATTTTTTTTACCAAACATGAACTTGTATAAATGCTGATAATCTTGAACTCTCTTGCACTAAAACGATCAAATTTGAAATGGAGTGGAGTGATACTATGAT